TTTTTAAACTTGTTTTTAATGTTTGACTGTTTTCAGTGTTGATTTGTTTTATTGTGTTTGGCCCCTCATGTACAGCACTTTGTGTCAGCAGCTGCTGTTTTAAAGTGATTTATAAATAAAGATGATTTGATTTGAACTTAGGCCCATGTAGTGACTTATCAAGTTCACATGGAGCCCAGAGTGCTTCACACACTCACAGTGAAATGACTAACAGAGCTTTGTCAGGTCAGATAACAGCTTCAGTCAAAGGATCTGCAGAATAAGTTGGTTTAAAAACTGAAATTAACCAATCAACATTTAGATTTACAAAAAGTGTTCAGCTGATGGTGAAGGAGTGTCAGTCTGTTGTCACTGATGCAGTTACTTTATGAAAATATTATATTTTTTCTCACACTGTCCTTTGAGAAGCTGTTCTACAGCCAGCTGGCAGTTTGTCCATCATCTGAAAATAAAACTCACTGCGCTGTGTGTCTGTGTGTCTGTGTGTGTCTGTGTGTGTCTGTGTGTCTGTGTCTGTGTGTCTGTGTGTCAGGTAGCTTCAGGTGTAGACTGACCCAGGGCACAGGCAGAAATAAGGTTTTATTTTAAATGAAAAGGCTGACGAGGCAGCTGAAAAAACTGTTCAGGAGATGAAGATGAAAAATGAGACTGTTCACAGCACAGTGATGGACACTGACACAGAGACAACACACAACTGAAACACACAGAAACACACAAACAACTAACGAGGGAACAGAAACCAGCTGAGGAGACAGAGGCAACACTGAGACAGACCCACATAAACTAACACAACATAAAAAACAGAAACCAACAACCCAAACTGTGACACTGTGCAGTTGTTGTGTTGTGGTTTTTGTGTGTGCGTGATGCTGTGAGGTTTGGGGACAGGACGGTTCACTCCCCCAGTTTGTCTTTGGGCAAAACCAGTTTATGTGAAAAAGAACACGTCACAGTTGTGTAAGTGTAGGACAAAGATCAAGTGTTTTTGACCTGCAGCACATGTTTTAACCTGTTGTTGCTGCAGGTCAGTCACTGACCAACATTTATTCAGCCTTTTTAATCCACTCATATTTACTGAAGTGTGACATCATACGATACGCAGGGAGTTC